CACTAACACCTGTGTTTGCTAAACTGTGGGCTCCGTGAGGACAGGATCAGGTCTGTTTTACTCACAGCTGATTCCCTGGGATCAGGGCACTGCCAGGCTTAATGAGTGTGTGTTGACTAAATCTGGTTCAACAGCCTGCCTGGTGGCCGGGTGAGCTACCTAAACTCCTTCCAATAATATCCTTTCTCTTAAGATTCAGCTAGACTGGGCTTCTGCTGTTTGCAACAAGGGTCCCTGATGATACATTCACTGTTTTGCTTTGAGTGGTCAGACCAGAGGGATGGACAGTGTGAAAGCTGGGGCCTCCTTCTTTTACTCCTGGGGCATTTGCCACCACACCCCAGGACATCAGCGCCTCAGAGACCAAGAGGCCCTGGGACATACAGATGGGGCAAAAGAGTTTTGCCTTCCCAGCATATATTTTACTCCTTTTTTTTTTTTTACAAACAGACACTATCCCTTTGGAGTGGGTACTGCTCACCCAGCAGCTGTTTTATGATTTATTCAGGGCTAGTTAACAAGAGAGGGCAAAATGAAGACATTTTCCAGACCAAAAAAAAGGGGGGGGGGGTGAGGGTGCAATGGCTTATCCACTAAAGGAAACACGGAGGAGCTATTTAAAATGACATTTGTAATTGCTTAGGGATATGATAATGATGGAGTATTAAGTACAAAAAGAAAGATAAAAAATTATATTCCTTTTAACGAGGTTGAATTGAATGCCAAATATACATTTTTAAATACACCCATGCAGTGAGAAAAGATTGTCAGGAAAGATACCAAGACCCCAGCGGCCGTTGTTTTTGGGCAGTGGGGGAATTCGGTGGTTCTTTTGTTCTTTTCTGCATTTTCTAAGCTTTATTTAGCCACACCAAAAGCTCCTGATACACAAAGTTTCCACGCTGGAAGGATTCTCGGAGACAAATAAAAGTAGAATTGAGTCGCAACGTTTGAAAATGCTATTCCCGAGCCAAGCCTCCCAGGCATCATTTGCTTTCCCCCGTGAGAACCTCCGATTCGTTATGAGAAGCCACCTTCTTCTCCTTAAAGAGTCTCGGTGTTTTCTTCTGGCCAATGGGGATGGCCGCGGGGATGACGACGGCCCCAGCAGGAAGGGAACCAGGGAGCCCGCTACCGGCCCCGCGCAGGCGTAGAGACCTTGTAAGTCTGACGGCGCCGCCCCACCGCCAGGTGGCCGGTTAGCTCAGTTGGTTAGAGCGTGGTGCTAATAACGCCAAGGTCGCGGGTTCGATCCCCGTACGGGCCATAGAGGTGACTTTTTTTTTTTTTCCCCCGTGCTCCCATTTTTCAATCCATTTTAACTTTTTTTTTTTTTTAAATATGGTTTTCGAGGGCTGTGAGCCGCAGACGGGAGAGAGCCGGGGAATCGTTCCGGACGCGGCCCCGAAGTTGGCGCGGGCAGCCATTGGGGAGAAAGGGCAGGATCCCGCGTGTTCATCCCTCCAACTCAGCGCACGCTGTGCACACCTGCAGCTGCCACTGGGTTCTTTTTTTTTTTTTTTTAGGATGCTCTCGGATGCCACCGCCGGTTGCTTCCGAATACAGAGCTTCTGTGGGCCCTCGGTGCAGTCTCCAGCGTTCATGGAGATCTTAGACTTGAAAATCCAGGCCTGGAATTAATTCATTCCACAACTGCTTAGGGCGCGCCTTCTTACTGCATGATTTGGGGTGGGAAGCAGAACAGTAAAAGAGAAACACAAATCCCGACCCCCGTGGAGACAATGACCCACCAACGACTGCCATGTTTTTAGTGAGGTCTTCTGCTTGTGGAAGCATCTGGAAACCTTCTCTTGCTACTTTCTTGCTTTTCAGAGAGGTCTTAGGCTTCATATTTTTTCCTCTTGGTTCTGCAGTTTGCAGCCGGAAGGCAGCTGGTGAATTTCTCACTGGCGGTTCAAGTCTCCGGGTGTAGTCAGGCATGTTTAGTTTACCACAAAAGCCAGTTATTTTAGGGTTAATGCCATTTTATACCAGGGTCTAGCAGGAGCTCTAGCCATGTTTGAAAAATATCCAGGGAGAACATCTACTAAATCATTCATTCTTTTCTCAAATATGTGTTAAGCTCTGATGGAATTCAGTAATAGCTCAAGGCCACAGACCAGAGGCTCAAAGCCCTTGGCAAGGGCTCAGCGTGTATTAAAAGTGCTCATTAAATGCCAGTGATGGGACCCTTGTTCTTAGGAACAGTTAGTTAGAAGGAGAACCTGGGGCTGCTGACGACGAGTACAGACACTTTGGAAGTCTTGCTGTGGACATATGTGCCAGGCACCATGTTTGGCGGCGCAGAGGAGGAGCCAGCTGCTAGTGGGTCCAGAATAAAAGTTGTTTTGAGCAGAAGCCATTTGAATTCCTGAAAAGTCTTATCTGCCTAAAATTAGAGCCTTCCCAAAGAAGGCTCTCTCTCTGTCAAATAAAAAATCTTAAAAAAAAAAAAAAGAATTCAATTGTCATAAATCCCCTTCCCTGGGAGCAATCAGGAAACATGGACTCTTGTCACTGGAGAGACGTTGCCATCACACCTACAAGGCATGTCACAAAACTCGTATCTCCCATCTACTCTGGTAAGGGTCCATTTATCTTTCCTAAAAGGCATCTGTTTTCCCATAAGCGCCCTTCTCCCCTTTCCTTCCCCTATCAAGATAGTATATAGGCCCCTCGTTCTACCTGCCTCTTTCAGTCACATTTTTCTGTGAATTCCCTAGGTACATGAATAAAAATGCATCATTAAATTTTGTCTTTTCTCTTGTTAATCTGTCTTTTGTCACTTTAGTTCACAGGCCCCCTAAAGACTGAACCTAAGAACATAGAGGAAAAGTCCCCCTCCCTCCCTGGACAGGCTCAAAAACATGATGCAATGGGGCACTCTGCTCTAGACAAGGAGGGCAGTTCCTGGCTTAGGGGTCAGAGTTAAAAAAAAAAAAAAGAAAGAAAGAGGGGCGCATGGGTGGCTCAGCTGGTTAAGCGACTGCCTTCGGCTCAGGTCATGATCCTGGAGTCCCGGGATCGAGTCCCGCATCGGGCTCCCTGCTCAGCAGGGAGTCTGCCTCTCCCTCTGCCTCTCCCCCTCTCATGCTCTCTCTATCACTATCTCTCTCAATAAATAAATAAAAATCTTAAAAAAAAAACGGAAAGAAGGGATTGAAGAACTGAAACAGATTCCATAAATCTAATCTCCCTTCAGACCAGTCCTTAGTGAGGCCACTAATGAATTAAGTTAGAACACTGCAGGGAGCTTAGTGAATGCAACACGAGTGTTGACTATGATAATGACGATGGCCATGTGGAGAGAAAAATGATCAGAAGGTCTACCAGAAGCTTCTCGGACATCAGCCTGGCTCCCCAGTCTCCCCCTTTTGTGGGCATCAAGACGCTCCTCATATTCTACTGTAAATGCCAGTTTCCTTCTCTTCCTGCCTACACTGTATACAGAGGGCAGAACAGCCCTGAAGGCAGGGAAGGTGACTCACCCAGCAGGTGCTTAGTAACTTCGTCAACCCATGGCCCTACTGCCCTCCCTGGGGAGGGGAGCCGGGAAAGGAGCCCACACCAGCAGCAGCAAGACTCTGTGGGAAGGACACACAGAGCCAGGAGAGTAAAGAGGAGGGGAGATTGGGAAAGGTTGGGCTGAAGAGGAAGTGATAGAGCTGGGATGGATGGGACTGAAATGTGGAGAGGGGTGGGGACCTTCCTTTCCCTCCCTCCTTCCTTCCTTCCCTCCATCCTTCGTATTTATCCATGCATCATTCATTCCCTAATCTTGTGCTCTGGGCCGAGCCCTGTGCTGAGCACTGAGTAAAATATCATCTTGGCCCTTAAGGTGCATCCAGTCTGGATGAGAGGGTAGACCTGGGAACAATTTGGGGTTGGGTGCACTAGTTAAAAATGCACACTTTGCGGGGGCACCTGGGTGACTCAGTCCCTCCGGGCATCAGACTTGATTTCCGCTCAGGTCGTGATCTGGGTGGTGGGATAGAGCCCACTTGGGATTCTCGCTCTCCCTCTCCCTCTGCCCCTACACCCCCTTAAAAAATGCACACTTTGGGGGCACCTGCCCAGTTGGTGGAGCACGTGACTCTTGATCTCAGAGTCCTGAGTTCAAGTTCCACGTTGGGCATGGAGCCTACTTAAAAAAAATAAATAAAACTGGGCGCCTGGGTGGCTCAGATGGTTAAGCGTCTGCCTTCGGCTCAGGTCATGATCTCAGGATCCTGGGATCGAGTCCTGCATCGGGCTTCCTGCTCCTTGGGAGCCTGCTTCTCCCTCTGCCTCTCTCTCTCTCTCTCTCTCTCTCTCTGTCTCTCATGAATAAATAAATAAATAATCTTAAAAAAATAAATAAATAAAACTCATTATATATATTTATTATATATTATATATATAAATTATATAATATATATTTATTATATGTTATATATAAATTATATAATATATATTTATTATATATTATATATACATTATATAATATATATTTATTATATATATTATATATACATTATATAATATATATTTATTATATATTATATATATAAATTATATAACATATATATATATTTTTTTAAATAAAAAAGCACACTTAGGGTCCCCTGCCAGATCTGTCTATCAGAAGGCCTTAAGGTGGGACCAGACAGGATCTTTTGGTGGCTCTCATGCACATGACCTTGAGAACTTTGGGATTGTGTGCTGCTAGGCTGAGGGGCTCTGGAACTCCGGAGACCTTCGTCTGGGAGACCCTGGATAGCTCCTGGAAGAGTGATACTTGAAAGTTAAATACATCTGTGACGAGTGAGAGGAAGATAAAGCCCATTCCGTCTTCGGCGAAAAGGCGATGGGGCAGGGCCAACGCAGGCCCCGCCCACGACCTGCTCGCCCAGGTGCGGTCGCCTTCCGAGGTGTCTTGGCCTGCGGGGCACTCGTAGCCCCTCCCACCCCCCCCACCCCCCCTTCCCAGGTGACGCACATTTGAGCCGCCGTCTCTCGGGGGCGCGGGTTCGAGTCCCGTGTCGGCTGCCATGGCGGACGCGGAGCCGGAGGCTGAGGACGGCAGCGAGGATGGCGGCGGCGGCGCCCGGGCCCCCCGCGGCCGGAGCGGCACCGGCGCGCGCGTGGCCCCGCTGGGCCCCGAGCAGCTGCGGCAGGTCCTGGAGCAGGTGACGAAGGCGCCGCCGCCGCCCTTCGTGCTGCAGGACGCGGCGCGGCGGCTGCGGGACGCGGCGCAGCAGGCCGCCCTGCGGCGGGGCCCCGACGCCGAGGCCCCGCGCCCGCCGCGCATGCTGCCGCCCCAGGTGAGGCGCCGGGAGGGACGTGGGGAAACCGAGGCCGGAGGGGGCCGAGGCCCCGCGGCCCCGCGCGCCGTCTTCGGCCTCGGAGCTGCGGGCAGGGGAGGCAGCGCCCGTCACCGCCCCCGCGTTTGCGGCTCCTCCGGCGCGCCTCGTGGGCCCCCTGCCGGGACCCCGCCGCCCTCGCCGCGCTGCTCGGGGCGCCCCCGCGCCGCCGGGCTCCTCGCTCAGGCCTTTGTCATTCATCCCGCGTTTGCGGAGCCCTCGCTGTGTTTGTTCCCAGCACTGCCCTGGGCGCCGCGGGTGCAGCCTGGACCAGCCGGCGAAGGACTGAGGGAGGTGCTGGGAGTGACAAGGGGCTGCAGTAGGACGAGCAGCCCTCCGGCCTGACGCCGGAGCGGAGACCTGAGTGCGTTAAACGCAACCAGCCTGCAGAGCTTTCCCCGTGGAGGGTGCGGCGCGTGCCAACGCAGGGACTCGGGGCAGAGGGTGCAGCTGTGCCAACGCAGGGACTCGGGGCAGAGTTACGCACGCTGTCCTCGTTCCATGCAGGACTTACCGGCCTGGGCGGTAGTGCCCGGATGTGGGGCCCCGGGGCCCAGCACGGAGCCTGACCTACACTTAAGGAGGGAAATACATGAAAGCGCTCAGTGTACTACAGAATACCATTTCCGCGTTGCTATTTCGCGGGTCCCACAGCTCTTGGCTGCGAGGGAAGTTGGAACTAGAGCAGGGTCTTCCAAGCCCAGAGGGTCCCGAAGCCAGAGGTCCTTCACATCATCTGTAAAGCCACCTCCCCTTTCAGAGCTGGGGTTGCAAATGACACTGACACTTCTCACCCCAAAGTTGCCAGACAGATGCTTCTCAGAATAAATAGATGGAGAATAGAATCAACAGTGTTCGTTGTTGTCGTTGTTATTAGCAGTCTTCGTCTTTTGTTTTTCTCAGGGAGTGGTTTTGGCTGCTTAGAGTTGTACCCAGTTGGTGATCGAGACTGGAGAGGTGTCCTGCTAATGTTGGAGAAGACAGTTATGATTCTGCCCAGACTGTTTCCTAGAGGTGTGACCCTGAGTAACCCGACCTCTTTGGGCTTTGGTTCCTTCATTCGCAAGAGGGATGGCTCGTTGGATGAGCCTTCTAGCTCATACTCTGCGAAGAAGCAAATGTCGCCTGCATATGTGGTGCAAGCAAGTCTGGAGGAGGAGGGCGGTGGTGGCCACTGTCTGCAGAGCCTCTGTCCCATGCCTGGCACCGTGCCAGTCGCTTCTCAGCAGGCTCATGGAAGTGTTTGTATCAGCATTCTCCAGATGAGGAACAAGCTCAGGGAGGTTGGGTGACTTTGCTCACGGCTCCCCAGGTGTGGCTGCACCCCAGCACCTGTTAAATGTGACCCCAGCTTTTTGGGTTTGGTACGGCACCTTAAAGAGTCCAGAAATGACATTTTCCATAAAATGCGAGCGCACTTAATCAGAATGCAGCAGCATCATTGTATCCTGTAGCTAATCTGACTGGGAAGGTATAAATTCTCCCTGGCTTCACAGTAGTGTAATTTTGCTGTCTAGTCAGCTGGTACCCTTTGAGCCCCAGCTGTGCCAGGGAAGCCACAAAAGCAAACCAGATACGTACCTTGCACCCAAGGAGGTTATGGCCTAACCAATGAGGTAAAACATGACTCAGGTAACTTCTTTTTTTTTTTTTTTTTTTAAGATTTTATTTATTTATTTGAGAGAGAGAGAATGAGAGACAGAGAGCGTGAGAGGGAGGAGGGTCAGAGGGAGAAGCAGGCTCCCCGCCGAGCAGGGAGCCCGATGCGGGACTTGATTCAGGGACTCCAGGATCATGACCTGAGCCGAAGGCAGTCGCTTAACCAACTGAGCCACCCAGGCGCCCCGACTCAGGTAACTTCTAAGCAAGGTCAGAAAACTAGAGATGAAGAACTGGATCTAAAAAGACAAAGGAGAAGTTATTTCTGGCTGAAGGGATCAGAAATTACTTTGTCAAAGGATGAGTCCCAGCTGAAAATACGGAAGGGACAGGCAGTGGTGGGAGTAGGGTGGAATGTGCATTTAGAGAACCCAGGCCTTGTGGTTCTCTGTGTGTGTGGGGGGGGAAGGGGGTGGATCAGAAGGCACAGACCAAGTGAATGCGCTCCCGTCGGTCAGATTTTGGCTCACGTCCCTCCCCATCCTCCCTGTTCCTGTACCATAGAAACATTCCCAGTTCCTTCCAACATGCCTTGCCCTTTTTCATGCGCCTCTGCATTCACACATTTTTCCTTACACCTAGTCTACCTTTCCACCTGGCCAGAATTCTCTTCAGCCTTCTTAGGTCCCCTCCCCTGGGAAGTCTCTCCCCCTCCCCACCCACAGGGCCGCCTCTCTCACTGCACCTGCCTGCACCATTGTGTCATTGTGTCCTTAGGGAGCCTAGTCAGCCTTCCGAATCATCAGTGGAGCTTTTGAAAGTACAGACTTCGGGGCAGGAGATCCTGATTCAGCAGGTCTGCAGGTGACTGAGGCATGGCGGGGGAAGCCGCCCACCTCCTCAAGGGTGAGGCGAGGACTTGGCTTATGTTTTCTGTGTTTTTTAATTGAAGTATAGTTGACAGTTTCAGGTGTACAACAGCATTCCACAAGTTTGTACGTTATTCAGGCCTCACCACAGGTGTAGTCACGGTCACCGTACGACGTCAGCATATTACAGTGTTATTGACCATATTCCCTGTGTTGTACTTTTCACCTCCATGACTTATTTTATAACTGCAAGTGTGTATCTCTGAATCACCTCTCCCCGTGTCACCCGCCTCCTCACCCACATTGGCTTCTGTGTAAGTTTTGGCACACAGAGATACTTAGTAAGAGTTTGCTGAGTAAAATAAATATATAACAAAGTATCAAGTATAACACCCACAAGGGAAACTGGTCTGGAGCAGATTTAAAAATGGAGGTACCCTTCAAACAGCAGGATTTGGGGGGGGCTGTGTACTGGCATTATCTGGTGACATCCCAAGAGGTTAGACATTCTAAATGGTCATAATGTGAAACAGGTGTGATTATTAAAAGATCATTGTCATTCCATTCACAAGTACCCCAGGATGGGTCCTCGTGGGCCTCTGGCTCCAGCTGTGTACGTGGCCTCATAAACTAGTACACTGAATCATCTCTGCTGTTTGTGGTAGATGTATCACATGGAGACAGACAGACAGACTCCAGCTTGATTTCAGTGAGAGGTGGTGCTCTGCCCTGTGTGACATTTTTATCGACCCTCCACACGGTATAGGGTTGAGTCCAAACAGAGCCTGTTGGTGGCCCAAATCAGCGGTTCTCAACCAGGGGGCCATTTTCCCCTAGAGAGGCGTTTGGCAGTGTCTGGAGACATTTTTGTCCCGAGGTGGGGGCTGCCCCTGGCATCCAGTGGGTGGAGGCAGGGCTGCTGTCCACATCCTCCAGTGCACAGGACGGCCCCTGCTACACAGAATTAGAGGTCCGAAATGTCCGTGGTGCCAAGGTTGGGGAAGCCTGTCCCGGATGATGAGGTTGGACAAAGACGCTGACTGTTTTTGCACTGTGAGGCCCTGAGTCATGTCCGTTTCGCTGCCTCTCCCCTGAACCCATGACCGTCACATCGCTAACACCTATATTGGCCCTGGCACATGGTCACTGCTCGATAATGATTTGTGGAACATTGTTGGTGGCAGCCCTCCCCTTTGGTGGGCGCTTTGCTGTCACAGACCGTGCTGTCTTGTGGAATCCAAGAAGTGGAGTTGCTGTGTCAAAAAGCATGTGCATTATAAGATTTATTTATTTTAGAGAGAGAGAGAGAGAGCACACAAGTGGGAGGAGGGGCAGAGGGAGAGGGAGAGAGACTCGGAAGCAGACTGCCCACTGAGCGTGGAGCCCAATGAGCTCGATCCCACAACGCTGAGATCACAACCGGAGCTGAAATGAAGTGTCAGACGCTCAACCGACTGAGCCACCCTGGCTCCCCTAAGATTTTGTTAGATGTTAAAAAGTTGTTGAAGGTAAGCACCCCACTCCTAGTTATGTGTCCTGGGGAAACTCACACATATGCACACACATCCATGAAGGGTCTGAGCACACCACAGGAGCACAGGGTTGGAGATACTTGTCCATCAACAGGAGAGTGTTTTCTTACTACAGAGTAAATGAGAGCTATACACCTTGATACGGATGGGGAGTAAAAACCTGAAAAAGCCCCACCAAGTTGCAGGAGATGATATTCACTTACATGAAGTTGAAAAACATGACAAAACTGAACTGCATATTTTTAGGGATATCTACATATGTAATATAAAAAATGCATAAGAGGGGTGCCTGGGTGGCTCGGTTGAATCTGTCTCTTGGTTTCAGCTCAGGTTATGATCTCGGGGTTGTGGGATCGAGCCCCGTGTTGGGCTCCATGCTCAGCGGGGAATCTGCTTGAGATTCTCCCTCTCCTCTCCCTCTGCCCCTCCCCACTGGGTATGCTCACTCTCTCCCTCTCGCTCTCTCAAATAAATAAATCTTTTAAAAAATGCATGAGAACGATCAATAAACTTTCAGTCTAGGGTGAAGAAGGAAGAGAGCACGCAGATTGGGAGGATAGCAGAGAGCTTATGAGGGTAATGTTGCGTGCCTTGAGGCAGGTGGTAGGAACCTGTGTTACATTGTTCTTTATGGCTTTTTTTGTTTCTAGAATTTCATTAACTTTTCAAGAAAATGAGCCTATTTATTGAGTTGAGTCCAATTTAGAGTACTAGGAATTCCAAGTAAATACAAATGTGGTAAAACTGTAAAGAAGGATACTTCTTATTGGGTCATGAAGTCAATTTAGTGGATTAAGATTAGTATTTTTTCAAAAATGATATGGAATAGATACCATCAGAAGGCATTTATGTAGAAATGGTAAGTGATTTCGTGAACTTTATGTGTGCAGATGTTTCTGTGTGCACATACGGATGTGATGTAAAGGTCTGGTCAGAAAGCTTGAGAAACACCTTTGTAAACAGTACGGATCCATTAAATAGACTTTTATGGGTAAAATGTATTTTATAACTTAGAAACAATTTCAATAATACATTTAAGATGAGAGCAGAATTGTAGAAATGCTGATGAGCCTAATGCTTTTCTCTTTCTGTATTTAAGCAACTGGAAGCCATCTGTGTCAAGATAACATCTGGAGAAATGAAGGGTCAGCAAAGGCCAGTGCCCCCACTGGCCACCATCCAGCCCAAGCCAGCCAGGCTGAGCCAGCTGCCCGCGAGGCCTTCCAGGGTGCTGGGGTTCCGGGTGCAGCCCATCCTGAGCACCGGGCCCCAGCCGCGCTTCCTGAGCAGCTCGTCCCCCGTTCAGGTGTTTGTGCAGAGGCCCCTGCCCGCCCTCCAGCCCCTGGCTCCTAATGGACAGGGTGCCCCACTGACCCCCTTGTCAGCTTCTGACCCACCAGCAGCAACATCTGTGTCATCCAGTTCAGCAAATTTATTTATTTCCAGCTTGCACACAAAACACACTGAGAAACTAAAAAAGTCCTTAAAAGTGAAAACACGTTCTGGACGGATATCTCGACCTCCCAAGTATAAAGCTAAAGATTATAAATTCATAAAAACGGAGGATTTGGCTGACGGTCACTTGTCAGATTCTGACGATTACTCAGAACTGAGTGTGGAAGAAGATGAAGAACAGAGGGAAAAGCAGGTGCTCTTTGACTTGTCCAGCTGCTCCCTGAGGCCCAAGAGTTTTAAGTGTCAGACGTGTGAAAAATCCTACATTGGAAAGGGGGGCCTGGCCCGGCATCTTAAACTGAATCCAGGCCACGGCCAGCTGGAGCCTGAAGAGTTGCTGTCTGAGAAGGCCAACGGGAGCGCGACTCGAGGCTGCACGGAGGGCAGGACTGCTAGCCTGACGTCCCCAGGGCCGTCCACACCAGCCCTTCTAAGTGAGGACCGGGCCCAGTCTTCACGGGCTGGCCTGCAGGTAATGTTTCTGTCTGTTGACTGTGGCCTTCTTCCTGCCCATCCTGAAGTGAACCTCTGTGGTATCTGATGGGGGTTCAGGGGAAGGCTCGAGGAGAGCCAAGATGACCAGAGCAGGGCATCTGACACTCCCCCACTGTTGTCCCCACTGCCGCCAACAAGCAAGGACAGGTGTGTCCTGTGTGTGGTTTGTGTCGTAGGGTTCGCTGAGCGTGTTGGATGGGAACAGAGGTGCTAATTCTTTAGATTTGGTGGGTAAAACTAATCGTAGAGCACTCTTGGCTGATGCTGACATAACAGCGGGCCTTGGGAAGGGTCTGAGTTGGGGGCAACGGCCCACAAGGGCGCTTTCTGGAGGGTCAGCAGTAACACGCTGCTTTCGCGTTTTGTCCCTTCAGAAACTCACAATCAGACAAGGCAGACAGAAGCTACACTGAGTTGCATCACCACATCAGAATTTACTGACAGCAATTTCACATCCCTAATGGGTGGTGTGCATTTGTGTGCCGTGTTCAAGAGGTCAGTTATTTATGAAATGCAGACGAGACAGATCCCTTTAACAAACGGCAGGCCTCCGTGGTCACCCTCACCCGCGTCGCTAGAACCTCCCTTCCTTTTCCTTCGACTTGTGTTGGCTGTTATTTCTGTCTGTGCTTGCGGCTAGGTGATTATATTTGTAGTTTCTGAAATGTTAGAGAAACCAGCGTTGGATCGATGTGGCTAGTCAGTGGGAGCTTGTGATTTCAGTGACCTGGAGGATGCTGGAAATGAGTGCCTGTCCGCTCTGGCCGCCTCATTCCCTGCTGTGGGGTGGGGGTTCCTGAAGGAGGGGAGAGGCTGGTGGCCACTCTGGCTTACAGATCAGCTCCTTGGGGCCTGAGCAGGTACTGTGTGGGCCCAGGACATCCTTCCTGAGGTCTAGTGGTAGAACCAGGGGACAGCCCTGTGTTAGGATTCAAGAGTACTACTTCCCCCTGTCGCATTAGCTTCAATCACAGCACTGTTTATTCATGCCCCCTTTGGGCAGGAGTGTTTTCAATCTTCTAGGACTCTGCCAGGTGGGAATTAGACTTAGGTCTTTTGACTTCAAAGCCCACCCTCGAGGCTGCCTCGTTGGGGGAGGTCTGCACCTCTCGTGGCTGGTAAAACCCCAACTTTTGAGAAACCTCTCTACTTCAGTTGAGGTAGGACCAGGGTGACATGTAGTTTATCATCCAAAGCAGGACATTCAGAGAGTGAAAGGGGCACTATTAATAATCCCAAGGGACAACAGCTGTGCCCAGGACTGTCTCAGGATGACCAGGCTAGCCGGCACTTCCGACTTCTTCCATAATGAAATCCTAGGGGCGCCTGGGTGTCTCAGTCAGTTAAGCGTCTGACTCTTGGTTTCGACTCAGGTCATGATCTCAGGGTCGTAGGATCAAGCCCCGCGTCAGGCTCTGTGCTCAGCGGGGAGTCTGTTTGTCCCTCTCTCTGCTCCTCCCCCTGCTTGTGCGCTCTATATGTAGAATAAATAAATAAAATAAAATAAAAAGAGTAATGAAATCCTATACCACAGCAGAAGCAATTTGTAGATACTTGACTTCCTGAATACTGGCCCTTGGCCTTGGGCGTGGTGGCTGTCCAGATTGCCTGTGAGGGGTGCCTCCAGCTGCTGGGGTGGGGAGGGACGTGCAGGCGTGTGTCGCTCCTGTCCTTTCCCAGGCGCAGACTCATGGCACCTAAAGCCACAGACAGACCTGGCATTCCTCCTGGAGCTCCACTCTAATGAAGATTTAGAGGGGAAATTCCGTTAAGAGTTCAGAGGACACACTTGGGGCTAGCTGTAGCTGCCATGTGAAGTGTGTTCCTTGTATTCATTTAACGTTCCATCAGTCCTGGGAGATGGAGGTGGATTACTCCCATTTTCAGAGGGGGCATGGGTGCAGAATGAGGAAATAGCTGGACAGCGTCAGACCCAGGACTCTTCAAAAGCTGTGCAAATCCATGAAGACGGAGAGTAGATTCACAGCTCCTGGGGCCTGGGGGCAGGGAAGAATGAATGATGCCAATGGGTACAGGGGTCCTTCGGGGGTGGGGGGGTGGGGACAAACATGTTTTGGGATTAGTGGTGATGGTTACACGACCTTCTCGGTGTACGAAAATCTACTGAACTGTGTATTTTCAAAATATGAAGTTTATAGTGTTTGAAATATATCCAATAAGAAATGATTTTTTTAAAGTCATGGGTAATTTCAGTTTAATTTGTAAGATGACAGTGATGTCAGAGAAGTTCCTTGTTTCATTTTGGGCAACACCCAGGGTCATGGTTTGTCCGCTGGGCCTTACCGGCTCACTAATGCTCACTGGCTGTCTTAAAGGGGAACTTTGTTGGGAAAGTTTAAGTTGATTACAGTTAATGCATCTTGATAGTGCAAAGAAGAAATAATTTAGCAAGTTCCTTGCTTTTGACTTGACTTTTTTTTTGCCCTAAGGTCATCACTATGGCGTATAAAACTTTGTTTTGTTTTGTTTTGTTTTGGGTGTGCAACGCTATCTAGAATAGCCAGTCTCTAGAAGTTGAAGAGGCCTTGGTATCTGAACTAGAAAACGGAAGTTATTCAGCCCTTTTGGGATCAGAGGGACACCCAGGCCCTAGAAGGAGTGACTCGTCCACAGCCCCGGCGGAGGCCAGCACAGCCGTCCTGGGGCGGAGCAGAGCAGCCCCCCCGCCTGGGGGTGCCCATGTGGTGGGCGCGCAGAGCCCGTCGAGGGCTAGAGCCAGGCTCAAGGAGGTGCGTGGCTCTGAGACCCTGTTCTTGAAACCTGTGTCTTTGGCGTGGTGTGTGACAATTCACTATTAGGTTTCTGAATTAAAAGTCAAATACCCAGATCAACTAAGCAGTTCACCTGAAATGTAATTGGATGAAGTGTGTAATGAATTCAGGGATAGTATTATCTGAAGTAATTCCGAGCTTTCCTTATCTGAAATGACAAGAGGGCTTTAGGTATAGCAAGAGCTGCTTGCCTTTGTAAGTTGTGGAATGATTATAACCCATGTTTTCTTAGAAGCAGTTTAGAAAACAACAGAAATGGTTTCTATTTTTCTGTGAAAAGTGTTTTTTTTTTTTTAAGATTTTATTTATTTATTTGACAGAGAAAGACACAGCGAGAGAGGGAACACAAGCAGGGGGAGTGGGAGAGGGAGAGGGAGAAGCAGGCTTCCCGCTGAGCAGGGAGCCCGATGTGGGACTCGATCCCAGGACCCTGGGATCATGACCTGAGCCGAAGGCAGATGCTTAAGTGACTGAGCCACCCAGGCGCCCCTTCTGTGAAAAGTTTTAAGGCATAGAAACATGTTTCAGGTTTTGAACCCTGGAATCTCCATCCCAGTCCCTTGAGAGTAGACTTAGTGAATTTAATGGGGTTGATTTAGAAAAGTGGAACCCTAAATTCATCCGGATTGCCTTCGGCTAGGATGATGGTAATGGCCAGGTGATTAAGGAAAAGAAGTGACACACAGCTGATCTTCAAGTTAAAAAAAATTTGTTGATAAATGAATTAAATGTGTAAATTAATTGAATTTAAATTAAAAAAAGAAAAGAAAAGAAGTGAAGGGTAGCAGAGAGAGTTAGAGGTAGCGAGTTAGTGAGACAGTGGGCGTCAGGGTGCCCATCAGGGAACCAGGGCCTCCAGACTCACCCACAAGGGGAAACGAGAGGTTTTCAGAGAGGAAGCGGGTTTCCTAGAAAACTTCGTGAGCTTGCATGCTCTTGCGGGAAATTTAAACCCTGGCTAATTTGCTTTTCTCTCATTGGGCTGGTTAATTAACCCTGGATGACTAACTTTTTGGAGTAGGGGGTAAGGTAGTCCTTGACTCGATTCATCCATTAACATTCAAAATGCCACCATCTACTGAGCGCAGCCACCCTAACCCAGCCTCCGCGCTGAGTTCCAGGTTTCCTTCCTTCATTATCTCTGCTTAGTAGATGAGGAACCCGACAGGTTCGCAAGCTCCCGAGCCCCTGACGCTTCCTGTCTCTGAGTCTGCTCCCTTCCCTCCCACGCCATTGCCTCCCCAGGTGCCCTCCTCCATCCTCCTGGTGTCCCAGCCATCTGCCCTCTGCTGACACTCACATACTGCCAGTTTGCCCCAATCACATCTCCTGAGCCCCCGAGCTCTGATTCCAGACGTCCCCACCCGGGCGTCCTGTAAACCGTCCCACTGTCCACTTCCCACCCCTAACTTGCCCAGGGTCTGCCTGGGCTCGAGCTGGGAACCCACAGTTATTCCTGACTCCTCTGCCCTTTCCCTGACTCCTCCCCTTATCCCGAGGACCTTGCTGTCCCCGCATCTCTCTCTCCCCCACCCCCCCCCACTGAGCCACCCCTGCATTCACCTGGGTCCTCCTCTTCCCCAGCCTGTCCTTTGACAGTGGTCTCTAGACTGCAGGCTGCCCGGGACTTGCTTGCTTTTTTGTGTCCCTGGAGAGTAGGGAACACATTTCCTGACCCAGGGCCTGGAACCCACTAAGTGCTCCATGCTGTCAAAGGGGAGTCAGACTTTGAATCCAGAGTTGATCATAGACTTCGTCAATGGATAGACAAGTGAGATATTTAATACACAGAATGTTTACAGTTGGGAGTTGCTGCATCACTGAGATTTGGGGGAACTTTTATGTGCTTTGTTGCACCAACTTGTTGGCTCCTGGGAGATTCTTTCGGGGCTTTCAAAGCTGTCAAATGCTTCCTTCCGGTAGTTTCTGCACCAGTGTGACCGAGACGCTCTAGTGGAGTTGGTGCTGCCTCAGCTGGCCCAGGTCGTGACCGTGTACGAGTTTCTTCTGATGAAGGTGAGTCGTCTTAGCGATTCTAAATGATGGAGGCATGATTTGAAGTTACTTAGAAAGACCTCCTTCACATTTATTTTAGAAAAGCCAGGCTATCTGGAATCATTTCCCTCCCCCAGGACAGAGCCGAAGCGAGCCTGCCCACCCCCAACCCCCCGGACACCTGGCCTCGGGGCCTGGGCCTCCCCTGCCTGTTGTAACGTGGTGCGCGAGGCAAGAAAGTGGTGGCGGCCAACGATGGTCAGCCCAGGGCCCTTGTCGCCTTTCTCCCTGCCCTCGCTGGCCTGGTGACGAGGCTCTCCGCCCTGGTGAGCCTGCTCTGACTATGCAGGAGGTGCCCCCAGAGCTGCCCAGAGGAGTAAGGCGCTCCTCCCGCCTGCAGGTCTGTCCCCAGGGCCTCTCTGGTCCCTTCCTGCCCGCCCCCACCCCCCGCCACGCCTCCTTGGGAGCTCTGGCCCAAAGCCCCCCGGTGCCTTCCCCCGGGAGGCCGTGCGCTCTCTGGCCTGTCCTGGTGTCCCCACCGAGCACAGTGCTGGGCACCCACGGGCTCTGACCGGGGAGTGACCAGGGAGTGGAGGAAATGATGGGCCACTGACAGCTTTGAGGAGCTTGTAAGCTTCCCTCCTCGAAGCTTCTTTCTGTAGTTGCCATTTCATTGCCTCTGGTTTAAACCTCTCTTGTCATCTTTATCTTCATGAAGGTTGAAACAGGTCATCTAGCAAAACCTTTGTTCCCAGCTGTGTATAAGGAATTTGAAGAGTTGCATAAAATGGTTAAGAAAATGTGTCAAGATTACCTCAGTGGTTCTGGTCTGTGTTCCCGGGAGCCTCTGGAAATAAGCAACAATAAGGTAACGGTCTCACACAGGAAAAAGTTTTGCTTTTACATTTGCCAGAAGAGGGATATCCATTTAAAGAGAAGAATGTTTTTATTTTTAGTTATTTTTTAAAGTAATCTCCATCTAGAACTGTGGGGCTTGAACTCACGACCCCGAGATCAGGAGTCGCATGCTTCGCCTACTGAGCCGGCCGGGCACCCCAGAGGAGCATGTTTTTAGTAGTGACATCTCATAGTCAACTTCTTTTCGGCTCTCTTTTTCCCATCACGTGACATTTTTTTAAAAGCAAATGGTGCTTGTTTGGGGAACCTCAGGAATGCACAGAGGCTGACGGCAACTGAAAGCACCATTGTCTTCTCTCTCACTGCTGACGTCAGGGAACAGCCCAGTTGGTAGGGTGTATGTGTGAGGGTGACTGGGGTCACAGACACGGACTATGGGGGTTCTGACAGAATCCTCATTTCCCTGTCATCATCATCATCCAGTTGCTTCTGGCTATATTGGGTTTTGGATAAAAGTAAGTTTTGAACTGATGTGGTCTTACTTGTTTTAGATAAAACCTTTGCTGGGCGCAGTGTGTCCTGTGTGGTCTCCTCATTCAGGGGTCCCCGCCGGGCAGGCCCCCTCGCCCCCAGCCCTCAGCCCCACCTTGAAATGGAGCGCTGAGTGATGCCATGGCTTTAAATATGCCCGTTTACTCGTACAACTGTAGCTGGCTCCAGGGTCCCAAACACACCAGGCTCGGCCACTCACCGCTGACAAAATCCACAGGCAGAGAGGTGAGTGGTGGGGACACAAGAAAGGAGTTTATTTCAGCGAGGCCGACACCGGGAGGACCACGGACTAGCGTCTCAAAGACCGTCTCCCAAGTGCTGAAGATCCTTACAGGTTTATGTAAGGAGAATGTAGGGTGAAGGTGGGTGGGTATGTGCAGGGGCAGCGAAGGTCCAGTCTCATTGTCCTGGGCTCAGTCCTGAGGGGTCTTGCTGGCTCGGGGCAGTCCTTGTTGCTTGGGGGGGTGGTTTCGGTTCCCCTCATGGGAGGCTTTACCCTCAGGGTTTTCTGCCTGAGCCAAGAGCTGGAAAGAAGAACCCAGCTAGCAAGTTTGGGGTCAGAGTGGGGCAGCCACTGTCCTGGTTCACAACCATAAGGAATGCTTGGGCCATGTTGCCTTTAACTGCTGTTTGAGGGTCCACTAACCTGGGGATGGGCCTGCCCGCCTGCTCCTAGCATTGGCGTCCCAGAGGGTACCTTTCTTCCGTAGCAAGCAGCCTTGAACCACACTGTAACAGTCCATGGGTTTGGGGGTTTTGGCTTTTGGGGGGTTTTTTGGTCATTAGTTTTATATAAATGCAATATTTAGTATTACCTAATAAACTTTTGTATTTTACCTTCTTGAATTACACATTATAGAAATATAATGGGTTTTTCTTTTTTTTTTTTTTTTAAGATTTTATTTATTTATTTGAGCAAGAGAGAGGGAAAGGGAGAAGCAGGCTCCCTGCTGAGCAGAGAGCCCGACGTGGGGCTCGATCCCAGGACCCTGAGATCATGACTTGAGCTGAAGGCAGACGCTTAACCTACTGAGCCACCCAGGCGCCCGTAATGGGTTTTTTCTAAGCTTCATACAGATGCCTTGGTGGGCAGGAATCACTTACATGGGTTTTTTTTGTTTTTTTGTTTTTAAATATTTATTTGTTTTAGGGAGAGAGCGCATGGGGAGGGGGGTGGGGCGGGGGGAGAGGAGAGAGAGAATCCCAAGCAGACTCCGTGCAGCCCGACTCGGGGCTCGATACTATGACCCAGAGATCATGACCTGAGCCGAAATCAAGAGTCGGATGCTCAACCGACTGAGCCACCCAGATGCCCCAACTTACATGTTTTTTAGACTGTGAGCTCAACACATGTGGGTATCATCCTGTGTCACAAGGCAGACTGGACACGCAGTGCTGTGCATGCCCATCGGGACCCATCTTTGCAGGCAGTTGAGGCTGAGCCACAGCCTCCTAGGAGCACAGACAGCGGCCCGGCTTGCAGGGGACACAGGCAGGTTGGGAGGCGCTGAACCTGAGGGGCTGTCTTCTACCCGGACCTTGATCTGCTGCCCCTCCTTCCCTGCCCCTTTCCCTCCTGCTCCGCGGTGTTCCCTTCCTGTGTCCATGCGTAAGTGACAGGTGTCACTTGTCACCTTTATCTGGTCCTCACAAATCCACCCCCGCCCCCACCCGGGCAGCTGCAGTCCCCCTCACAGGATCAGGAAGGTCCCCTCGGCCAGGAGCAGAGAAGCCGGGGCCCAGCTCGGCTCTCAGGCCCCCACATCCTCACCCTTTGCACTGCTTGGAAGAGGAGACCTTGTTCTGGAATGGGCAGGAAGGTACCAGTGAGCATTCAGAACGGAAGGAGTCATGGGCGAGAACTCACTCTGGTGTCTGATTGATGCTGAAGAGAGTGTGTTTAAAAAACTTTTTGGTGTGTGATTCTACGTTGTGCTAACACAGAACCTTCCAGGTTCTGGTACGGGCTCGTTTTCTCCTGAGCTGTTCCGTCGAACTTCGCATGCATCTTCGTGTCTGTCGGTGTTCAGGGGGCCCTCGCCGCATGGCGGGGCTTCCCAGGCTCACTCAGTCCTGTAATCCGGTGTTGATGTGCTGCCCCCCTGTGCGCCCTTCCTCCCCAGCTGGCCGAGTCTTTGGGAATCACAGAATTCCTGAGGAAACCAGAGGCGCACGCACAGTGCGTGCCAGCCAAGCGCACCAGCGGGCAGCCGGGCCGGGCCGGGCCGGAGGAAGCCAGCCAGCAGAAGCGGGGAAACGAGGTGGGCACGCGCTGGAGGGGGTACCGGGTGACCTGCCGAGCCCCCCTGCTTTGACTTCAGCCCACAACGCTGTTCTCCAGAAAGGAGAAGCGCGAGCCTGCTGCTTCCTCCTAGTCTTAGCTGATTGGGTCTCTTCTTCATAGACTGCAGAGGAGGGCCTGGCCGGGGTGAAGAGGACCAGAAGAGACGCTCCACCCCGGGACACCCCTGAGCCCGCTGCCGACCGCGGAGGCCCGCAGAAGCCCGCCCCCTGCGCCCCAGCTGCCAGTGAGGGTAAACGCTCTTCGCGGTGCGCGCCCTGCGATCAGAGGCCTGCTTTCCACTGGCGGCTGCCGCTGGGGCCAGATCTAAGAGAACCTGGTTTCTCAAGAGTTTTATCCCAACCTGCCCATGTTCTGTTGTTCCCTCTGGTTCCCGTGAGTCTTGAGGTCTGGGAGGCTTTCTCGAATCCCTTACCGAAATGAAGAGCCACCGCATGCTGGTGAGTGGATCGCTTTCAGGAGGGTCCCGAGGACATGCCACGCCTGTGGCTTGGCTTGCCTGTGGCTTGGCTTTCCTGAGACTTGGCTCCAAGGGCAGTTGGGATTTAACATTGGAAACAGGACCCACTCTGGTTTTTATTCTGCTCTAGCCAACCTATCAACTAGACACTGAGCATATGGCGTACGAGAGTAATGACACCGCTTTCCCAAACCGCTTGATCCTAAGGTCTCCAGTTGAAAGAGGCATCCTCCGTTTTAGAACGTAGAATTCTGCGGAAGGGGAGGGCAGATTGGTCCAGTGGGAGCAGGAAGAACCCTGGCCCGTTTGGTACCCAGCCGCCCTCACCTAATGAATCCACGTCGCCTCTTGCAGCTTCCTCCATACTTGGACGCTGCCAATCCCCAGAAGCAAGGAGAGTTTAGGTTTCCATTTGTTTTGCCAGAACGTTCATTTGGACTGGCTTGTTTGGGATAGAGAGTGCAGTGGAAAGGCCGTACCACCGTACACGGACGCTTACCTGTTTTTCTGAACTGTTTAGGTTGTGCCCGTCACGTAAGTGGGAACACCTCTCACCACTCTGAAGAAAGCCACACGATGCCAGTTTCTGAGAGCAACAGAAGCGTGTTGCATGCAGGCCAACAGCTTAAAGCACTTGCTGACTTAGAGGCCGAGAGTGGGTCTGTAGCTCCTGCTTTCTCGTATCAGCATGTCAGTGGGCCGAGTCTCTGTCCTCAGTCAGGAGAGCCCAGGGCGCGGACACAGGGACAGGTGGCAGCATTGCCTGAGGAGAATGTTCTGGAACACTCTGTAGCCTGGAACTCGGGGGACAGCCGGAGGAGCCGGGCTCTCTGCAGCACCTTGACGTCCACTGGAGAGGACTCCCTGTCGCCTTCTGGGTCTGGAAACCTCGAGATGCGGGACTCCCAGCAGAAAGGCCAGCAGACCAGCCCCAGCCACATCCCGCTTACAGAGGATGCAGGCCCTGGGCTGCTGAGCGCTTTGTCCGTGGACACGGTGCCGGCCGACTGTGCCCACAGGACCGTGCGGGAGCTGGGGCCTCGGCCGGGCCAGGCGAGGGCGCTGTCCACTGATGGGGGTCAGGGAAGCTGTGCGGGGGACTCGGACCCCTTCCCCTGTGGGCCCGAGGCCCATGCTGACCAGCGAGGACTGGCCAGTATTGTTGCTGTTGGTGAAGCTGTGGCTTTTGAAATTACCAGCGGGTGCAGCGAGTTGTCGTCTCAGGGCCAAGAACCGCTGTTTATTCAGACCTCCGATGGGCTGATCTTGCCCCATCCGGGTTCCCTAGTGTCTGGGGAGGGGGACCTCGTCCTGGTGGCTGGTGAGGAGGGGCCCACCGTGCACACAGGACCCCGGGAAGGGGCTCCCCCGGAAAGTACAGAGGCAGAGGCCGCACAGTGAAGTTGGACCGCGGTCCCGGACGTGCGGGTATTTTAGCCAGAGAAGGTCTATTTGAAGTAATGTATATTTTTTTATTGTGAATACTGACACAAACGAACGTCTTATTTATAAAGGATAACATCTTTCTACTTGGCTGTCTCCCTTCTTCTTCCGTGTCTTGCTTGCTTTCCTACCGACGGCCGAGCCGCCGCCCCGCACTGGATTCGTCCGCGGAGCTAGTCCCTAGAGGCCCCTGACGACTGCCATCGTTAAAGCCACCACACTCTTCCTTGTCGGTCCTGCTCCCCCAAAACTGTCCCCTTACCTCCTGGGTGACCTGCTGCTTTTCCACCATACCTGGGTTTGGAAGTAAATAACCAAGTGGGCCGCTCTGGGCAGCACTGGGAGGTAGGAAAGAAAGTCGTATCTGCTCGCGTGTCATGTCATGGGTGCGGGAAGTGGGGCCACGAGGTCCGCAGCGGGGTGCCGCTGAGCTCAGAGCCCCGGTCCTCCTGTGCCTCCCCTGCAAAGCTGCCTGTCGACGTCTCTTCTCTGTTGAACGTTCTCCTTGGCTTTGTTACGGGGAGGGACAGGGAAGGCCTTGGCCCCCTCTCCCCCCCTTGCAGAGGCTGTGAGGAGAGACCCCGAGCAGGCAGTGCTGGGGATCACGGTGGCACCCCACCCTCGCACCATGCTCCTTCCAGGGCCTGCTGTGGAGGAGCGGGGTGTAGTTTCAGGGCCATTTTCCTGTCCTCTCCCTTGATCTCAAAGCCGGATGGATCCACAGAACAGAAGGACAGCGTTCTAGGATGCGGCGGCCAGCAGTGAGCCAGCCAGTTGCCTACGAGAGTCGGGTTCACAGGCGAGACGGTGGTACCTGCTGTGGATTTGGGGACACTTCTCAGGAGCCTAGAGCGAGTCCCGTCCTGGGGTCGTGGAGTGAGGACGGAGCCTCCTGCCTGAGGAGCGTTCATGACCCTTGTCAGGCAACTCACGCAACAAACCGCGTCACGTCTGGATCCCTGGTCCGTGGTCTGGACCAGGCCCTGTCAAATACGAACTTATTTTCTATTTAGAGGACATTCCTGAACACCCCAACACAGCTTGGTTTCACCATGGTGGGCGTGCTACTCTAAACGGAGGGTGCATTTAGTGGAGTAAAAGACCCCCTCATCCCACGGAGCAGGACGTTCCGGCGGTGCACCCGTGAGTTCGACCTGTGCTTGTGGAGGGACGGCAGCCGCCAGGACTGACGGACAGGCCTCTGCTCCGGGCGCCCTGCGTGCCGGCCAGGGCAGCGTTCGGGGCCCCTGATCCCCAGCTTTATAGCATGGCTTCCACCCCAAGGTGCTGCACTAGCAGACGCACCTTACCTCGTAGAAAGCACAGGAAAATTTCCTTTTCTCGTGAAGGATCTTCCTTCGTATACACAGTCCTTATAATTCGAGAGACTCCGGTTAGGGGCAGGAGTGAAGAGGCGTCAGAGCACCCATCTGGGGACACATACCACCCCAGGGACTCCCACGGGTGGCTGCTGCGGACCCCAGTGAGGACGTATGTTTTCAGCGTTTGTTACCTTACCTGGCATCAAGTCCAACTACTGTCATTACTAAACGCAACGAAAGAAAGCCCTTTATTTCTGTGTTCTCTGGAAAGCCCTAGGGCCCCCACCCCCCAGCCCTGTCAGGCTCATCCACGCTGGCCTCCCCAGTGGTCACGGGAGTGGGGAGAGCTGACCTGGAAGAGAGGCCGAGAGGGAGCCCGTCTTCACTGTCTTCTGAGGCCTACGTTTTTTAAAGAATAACGTCTATTTTCATCTAGGGAGTAGCAAGCACGTAATAAGTTTGAAACGGCAAAAGCTACGGGAAGGCCTGTGCCAAGCACGGGCAGCCCGACCTCAGCCTCGGCCCCTCGGCCAAGGTGAGCACTTTCTCCTTTTTGGTGATTTACCTCCATGTGTCCAAGTTACGTCTCTCTCACAGCTTTCTTGATTTATTCGTGCTCGATGGCATCGTGAGACGCGGGATGCGGCTCGCACACCTCCCCACTGTCCCCGCGGGTGTCCTTCTATCACGGGATGGTATTAAGTCAGGATTTAATGCTTCCAGTGAAGTGTAAATACTACTTGTGTGTTGTGACCACACGACTTCCCGGAAGCTTTGGCTTTTCCTTACTTTTTAAAAGTAAGGAGAGACTTACTTTTTAAAAGAGAGACTTACTTTTTAGAAGAGAAAGCAGCCCCTCCCCTTCCTCTTCTGTTGATTTGATGCTCGTACCCGCGGCGCCACGATGGCCACCGTCATGTGAGCTAAGGCCTCCATCACACCACATAATTATTACACTGTCTTCCTCCACCCTCCTCCGCGGTAGCCAGCTCCAGGTCCTGTAGCTGTCTCTTCGGCTTTTTCAGTCCACGTCACTACGCAACAGGCTAATACTGTCACTTCTTGATGTTCTAGGTTTAGGCATTACCGACCGGCTCCGGGGGCTGAGCGCACCCATGCTACCCCCCACTGCCACCACCCGCGTGCACTTGCCAGCCTTCCCCTTGGTAGGATGTCAGCCTCAACAGAGGTAGCGGGGATAAACGACTGGAACACGCTGGCGTTTTATTTCTCTCTCGTCTTAGTCCCTTTGGGCTGCTCTAACCAAATACCACAGACTGGGAAGCTCGTAGACAGCAGGAGCTTATTGCTCACAGCTCTGGAGGCTGGAGGCTGGAGATCGTGGCGCCAGCGTGGTTCGGTGAGAGCTCTCCTTCTGTGTCCCAGCTGGACACCTCTTGCTCTGTCCTCACATGGCGGACGGGGCTGTGGAGCTCTCTGGAGCCTTTTCCATAAGAGCATGGATCCCACGCATGGGGCTGCACCCTCATGGCCTGAGCACCTTCCAAAGGCCTCACCCTGTTACTTACCATCTCCTCCAGGGGTTAGGATTTCAACATATGAATCTGGCGGGGACATTTTGAGACGACAGCACCTCCCAAGTGAAAACGTGAGCCGGAAGGCACTCGGGAGCTTGAGTGGCCTTCCTCCAGAGGTGGCCCAGACCCAGGTTGCTTCCTCGCCCCTTGTGGGGGAGGGGCTTTCCCCAGAGGCCTGAGGGGGCTCATCACCCTCATGTGTCAGCTCCGTCCCCCAAAACGTGAGGGGCAGGAGGGGCACACAAAACTTCTGAGAACCAAAAGTTCACGTGCACATCTCAGTCACGTGGCCACGGTTGGCCGCAAAGAAGGTTCTGAAACCTATTAAACTGGTAGCCATGTGCCAGCTAAAACCCAAATGAAGCGAAAATATACTGAAGGACCACCAGTGGTCTCTGCCAAACCCCTTCTCCCAGAATGGTTAAAGTTGTTGTGGGTCGGTCTGGAGAGGCAGGAGTAACAGCTCTGGAACCTCCGGAGCTTCAAACAACCGAGGTGTATGTCTCCTCATGCGACATGTCCCTCACAGGCTGGTGGGACGGCTCTGCCTCATCACAACCAGGTCGGGGACCCAGCGGGGTGGCCACATCTCAAACCCTGCAGTGGCCAGGTCAGACGGAGGAAACTGAAAGGTCTGTCCTTCCGTGACCAGAATCTGCCACGTGGTCTCCCCCAACGGCAAGAGAACCAGAAGAGCAGGCTCTCATGGGCCACAGGGGCAGGACTCCAGGATTATCTGGTGGATGGCACGGATGGCTGACCAACTATCGGGTCACATTTTTATGACATGCAAGTGTTATTCAGAGCTGAGCTGTGTGGTATGTTGTGACTACTTTGATGCTTTTGTATAAGCTTTTCTGTTTCCTGGAGGGTGTTTTTCTTTTCTTTTCTTAGTTTTAGTGAAATGTACTTATCGTGAATTCACCCTGAAGCCCTTTCCCAATCCTATTCTATTTTTGCGGACTTGCCCTTTGCATACTCCTTGGCTGTCTATTTTGGCAAGATACCTGGAGGCAGAGAACCGTGTGAACAGTCTCCTAGGTTTAGAAGTCTGTCAGCTCTCTGGAGACTTCACTGTTGTGTGGCGAGTGCAGAATTCAGCAAATTCAACCACCAGAGGGGTCATCCTTTGATTTGATGCCTCTTTCATTTCGTGAGAGATCTCTGCACCAATGCCACCAGATAATGTCACTTAGCTCTTTTGTGTCTGTCTGTCCTTCGCAATGTCAACCCTTTCCATTAGTTCCCCTGGGCCACTTGGGTGCCTGGGGATGAGGCATCAAGAACCCATGGAATGTCCTAGAAAGGCCTGCTCACGGTATTAAGTCCTTCACTGCCCTTTTTTTTTTTAAGTACACCCAACGTGGGGCCTGAACTCACAACCCTGAGATCAAGAGTCGCATGCTCCACAGACTGAGCCAGCTGGGTGCCCTGAAGAGCATTTATTTTTTAAGTCCGTCCGAAACATAAAACTGCCAATGGACCTCGGGGCCCTGTCCCGCCCATCTGCCTCTGGGGCTCATGACAACAGCCTGCTGGGCAGGGCGGCCTGGAGCAGAACACCCTGTCTGCCCCATGCTAACCGCGTGGCTTCCTGGCTGCGCGATGTCGGAGGGGCAGCTTTTATGGTAGAGAGACATCAGTGAGTCCACAGGAAGGAGATACTAAGAAATGTTGCCTTTCAGTGCTTTTGAGGTGTCAGTTTGCACAGCGAGGTAGGCTCGCTTTCTCCCAAACGAAATCCCTGTCGTGTACGGTCTTTATTGGAATATTTTCCTTCTTTCCCTGTTTCTGGGACGCTGCAGCTTCAGTCAGAGGAGGCTACATCCCGTGGCCGTATCACATCCATGCTGTAGCACAACGTTCCTTACATTTGTCTCTGGGAAGCAGATGGTAGGATCGAGCCCCCAGGATTTGGTTGCAAATGTTGTCGGACTCTAGGACTTGTGCCTGAAGAATCACGTGGCTTTCATGTGCCTGGCACATCCTCAGTCTGCAGATACAGGCAACGTTTGTGGGGAGTTTTCATGAAGCCGCTCTCTATTACTCAGTTAGCTCTATGGTATTCTAAACATTAGTTGTAATTACAAAACTAACGTGCAGAAAAATTTAAATACTAGGTATAAAGTAAAAATACCGAACCAGGGCTTTCCTACATAAATGTCATATAAATACAGCTAATTTACAAAAACGAGATCACTCAGTCATTCTGGTGAGGAACTCCTTT